GTTGTGGGGGGGGGTCTCACGGGCGTCTCTGTCCCCTCTCTGGGTCAACTCATGGAAGGGGTTGAGTTGTGGTGGGTGAGGCTCTTCGTTCTCTCCGCAGGGAGGGCAGGTGCTCGCTGGTCACCTCCTTCGGCGTCTTTAAGTACATGGCCCTGTACAGCCTGGTGCAGTTCGTGTGCGTCCTTCTGCTCTACACGGTGAGTCCCGCCAGTGCCCGAGTGCCCGCGACGCTCGGGGACGCCTTCGGGTCACCTTGTCAAAGGTTTTTTGACCCACACCCCTTTCCCAGCCCTTCCACGGGTCCTGGCGGCTGCGAGCGGGTGGTTTCTCCTTCCCAGATCAACACCAACCTGAGCGACTTCCAGTTCCTCTTCTTCGACCTGATCATCACCACCACCGTGGCGGTGCTGATGGGTCGCACCGGTCCCGCCCGAGAGCTGGGAGTGGAACGGCCCCAAGGAGCGTTGATCAGCGTCCTCGTGCTGGGCAGCCTGCTCCTCCAAACGGTTTTGCTCATCACCGTGCAAGTCCTCAGCTACTTCATCACCATCTCGCAGAGCTGGTAAGAGGATCGCAACAAAACCCGGCCGCTTTTCTTCTTGGGTTTGGCCAACGCCGGTTGGTGTCAGGGATGCATCCAGCCACCGTGCAGTGAAGAGCTCCCGTGTGCTGCTGGAGAACAAGGGGGTCAGCATTTAGACCCTCTCCTCGCTTCTCGCTTCATCTGACCCACTGCCTTCTCCCCTGCCTGGCTCAGGTACGTGCCGCTGAACAGCACGGTGACGGCTCCCCAAAACCTGCCCAACTATGAGAACACGGTCCTCTTCTGCGTCACGGGCTTCCAGTACCTCATCCTGGCTGTCGCCATGTCCAAGGGTTACCCGTTTCGGGAGCCGCTCTACACCAACGGTGAGGACAATGCTGGCCGTGCGAGCGAAGAGAAGATGTCAAACCTTCATCCTCCTCCTCAACCCTCTTCCTTCTCGCCCCCAGTGCTCTTCTTGGTAGTCCTCATCCTTCTTTTTGGCCTCATGATATGGTTGACCCTCTACCCGCTGGGCTTCCCCAAAACCCTGCTGAAGCTGCAGGGCATCGATGACTTGAATTTCAAGCTGCTGCTGCTGGGGGTTGCAGCTCTCAACTTCTTCGCCGCCTTCGTGCTGGAGGTAGGTCAGCCCGGGGTGGGTGCTGGGCACACAAGGGATGCACGTCCTCCTTTTGGGTCTGTCTGAGCTCTCCACGAGGTCCACAACCTCCCCAAAAAAACCTTCTCCCCGCCCCATCTTTGCTGCAGACCGCCCTGGACCACGGCTTGCTCGGCTGCTTCCGCAAACTACGTCGGAAGAGAACGTCCAAGAAGCTTTTCAA